CCTTTCTCGTGTCATTTTTCTGTGTGACATCTAGAAAGCAATGCATATTAAAACAACGTTTGTTTGGAAGGTTTCCCCGGGTGGCTCAGCTGGTTAAGCGTCCCACTCTTGGTTTCAGCTCAGGTCATGATCTCGCGGTTCGTGAGTCGGAACGCTGCGTTGGGCTCTTTACTGAGAGCTACAGAGACTGCTTGGGATTCCCTGTCTCCCTCTCTCTACCTCTCCCCCACTCACAGTCTCTAGATCTCTCTCTCAAAATAAACAAACATTTAAAAAAAACAGTTTTTTGGGGTGCCTGGGTGGCTCAGTCAGTTAAGCGTCCAACTTTGGCTCAGGTCATGATATCACAGTATGTGGGTTCGAGCCCCACGTCGGGCTCTGTGCTGACAGCTCGGAGCCTGGAACCTGCTTCGGATTCTGTGTCTCCCTCTCTCTCTCTCTGCCCCTCCCACTCATGCTCTGTCTCTCCCTCTCTGTCAAAAATAAATAAACATTAAAAAAAAAACGGTTTTAATGATGAACAGTTGAGTGGCCATCATGCAGTCTACTGGCCTAAGTAAACTCATGCTTTTTTTTTTTTAAATTTTTTAATGTTTATTATTTTTGAGAGAGATAGAGCATGAGCGGGGAAGGGGCAGAGAGAGAGAGGGAGACACAGAATCTAAGCTGAGCTGTCAGCACAGAGCCTGACACGTGGCTTGAACTCACGGACCATGAGATCATGACCTGAGCCGAAGTCGGACGCTCAACCGACTGAGCCACCCAGGCGCCCCGGAGGCAGCCTTTTAAATGCTTCTTTCTTCTTTCCTCTTTCCCCCTTTTTTATCCTCCTATGATTTCATGTCTAATCTTAAACATTCAAGCACTATTAACATGGAGTGCCAGAATGCAGCTTGGAGCACATGAGTCGTGGAGTTTCTCCAAAGTCAAGTTTGCAAACTGCTATTCATATAAATGAGTCTCCTAGTCCATCCCTATGTGCCTGCCCCCCCACCCCCGCAATAAAAGGACAAGCACATGGAGGTACCACAGGGCGGAATCATGAGGGACACAGTCTCTGTATTTCCCAGGATAAGCAATGCCCTGCCGCGGCAACCAACAGCCTCGGAAATAAATGACTCAAATCAGCAAGGACCTTTCCTTGTTCCTTCGATACTTTTTTTTTTTTAAGTTTAATTATTCAGTTTTGAGAGAGGGGGAGAGAGGACAGAGAATCCCAAGCAGGCTCCACGCTGTCAGCACAGAGCCCGACGCAGGGCTCGAACTTACAAATCCTGAGATCATGACCTGAGCCGAAGTCGGACGCTCAACTGACTGAGCCACCCAGGAGGCCTTCATCTGATATTCTGAAGTGAGTCAAGGGGTCCTTCATCTCGCAGCTATACAATCTGAAACATATAATCCCCCACGGTTGCCAGAGGAGAAGAAGAGAGAGATGGAAATGCACTTGGCCCTACGCCCAGCCGTGTAGGCTTGAAAGTGACCCTCTGCTCATCCCTTGGCGTGTGGGCATCTGGTGAGCGCTTCGTGTCTCTGCCACGCTCTCTGGAGGCAAAGATGACTCAGGTCAGATCTCAGCTTTGCTCCTTGATGGCAGTTTGACCTTGACAAGGGACGTAATTCCCTGTAGTCTCCTCTTCGGCAAAAGGTGGTGGATGTTTCACAGAGGCCATGCCCGTGACTGGCATCTGTATCTTAGGGTTGGAGTGAGAATCAAATTATTTACCTATGCAAAGTGCTTAGGGCAGTATCTGGCCCATAACAAGCAATAACGAGTGGTTTTTTAAAACGTGCTCTTTGATGGCGGTCAGCAAGAGTTTGCACGTATGTGTTGTTTATTTCATGGCTGACCATCAAGAAGAAAGAAAGGATGAATGAACAAGGTAGAGGCTGAAGGAAAGGACACTGCTCACGTTTGCTAACAGCAGTGACTTGAATTCTTCCACCACACTTGGTAGATGGTCCTACACCCAAGAGCAGCGACCCGGCCCTTGTGGCGAGTCTGACCCGTCTACATGGCAGACAGAAAAGGGCAGCCCTGGGCGTCTTGAGGCAAGGTTGCAAAGCTTTCCTCTAAATATTTCTGAGAAGTTCGGATCCCTCTGTGTGTTTTTCTCAGGAGATGGTGCATAATTTTCATCAGACCCCTGAAAAGGATCTGTTCCTCAAAATAGTTGAAAATCCGTGGTCCCCAACACCCCGTCAGCTGACCCTCACAACGGGAGAAGTACAGTTCAGGAACTGGGGGTCTCATGACATAATGGATATAGTACCCGTGACCGTGAATGTGAACAGTCTACACCTCTTTTCAAGGGGAGGGAATCTGTAAGGGGGAGGGAGGGCTTTTTGAGCAGTTTGGGCAGGAATCTGTCCCTCAGGGATCCACAGCTCCCCTCCACCCTTGTCAGTCTCCTCCGCTCCCACCTTCTCTCGTCGGGCAGATAATCGGAGGTAGAAGGCGAGGAGCTCTGAAAGATGGGCTCTATCTCTGGAACAGTTACTGAGGACCTGGAAGGGCGGCACCAAGTCTCTTAGCAAAGTCCCTGGAGCCAAGACGGCCCCGGCTCCGTGATGAGGGGTAGGCGGAGCAGCGGCAGGAGCTTCAAACAGACAACATCTACTTTCTGCTGTCTTCTCCAGAGTTGGCATGGGAGCAATCAAAGACTGGATGTGAGCCCTCTGCCATCATCACCCTACATCCTGCTGCTTCTCTGTGGATCATTAATGTGTTTACAAGCACATGGTTTTGTCTGAAGCATTTATTTACCCTTGTTATTAAGATGCGTGGGTTTCACCGGAAGCATCAGCTTTGAGGCCTTTAAAAGCACATGATAAAAGCAGGCATGCAAACGGGAGAATTCCGCCCACGGGCTGTGAGCGGGTTAAGCTCAGCATGGCCAGCGGTGATAAAGGGAGAGGAAAATACAACTGAAAAACACACTTGAAAATTGTATTACATAAAATAATTTACTTCTCATTCAGAACGACCTTCTGGACCTGTGTGAGATAGCAGTCCAGGAGCACAGGTACAATCTGAAAGTCATGACCGTTAAAATAGGGCAAGATCAACGGAGTTACACGTTTGGATCCTGGAGTCGACCAGAGACAAAACTGTGGGAGAAAAGGGACACGGACGAAGGACTCTAGGAACACTGAAAGCAAGGACTGCCAGAGAGACAAGAAGGGCTCAAATGAGAAAACCTAGATCTTCGATACAGTGAGATCTGCATATACACACTCTGGTGTCTTCATTCTGCGACCCGGCCTGTTGGCTTAGAAGCCACAAGGTGCTCACGTGTGTCGTCTATGCTGGAGGAATCGGTATTGTGCATGCAGGCGTGCGTGTGTGCTTCGGAGGCTGTGGTTTTACAAGAATGAGAAGAAAATTACTTCCTGGCCATTCATGAATAATTCAGGTGATATCCTGCACCCCCATTTATAAAACAATACAGTAATAAAAACATTGTACAAAACATCATAAATAACATAAATGAGAAATTTTCAAGTATTTCATGTACCTTGAAAAGTTCCGAACAGTAGTTCTAACAATTGATCTCTTTCTCTCTCTCTCTCTCTTTTTCCCCTTTCTCTCTCGTTTAGTCTTCAGAGCCTAAAAGGAGATACCCCCAGGCTCTGTTAGCCCTGATGTTTCAGAATGGAATGAACAAGATCGTGCGCTGAAAAGAGAAACTTACAAGGGCTTTTCAGTTTGTGCAAACATGTATCCCTTTATAAAATACAATCCTTCCCTCGCTGCTGGTTTCCAGGTGCAGGCACAGAGCCTGGACCCATGGTGGGGAAACCACCAGCCACCCAGGGAAGAAAGGGGCCTCATCTGATGGCTGAAGTCCTCAGGCAAAAACAAAATGAGGAGAGCACCTTGGTCAGGAGAGGGAAAAAGAGTCGAGGAGAAAACTATTAACTCCGAAGTTCCGTGCCCTCGCTCAGCCAGTGTCATCCGGCAGGTAGAGCTGGCGAGGCCCCACCTGCGTTTCTTCCCTCAGTTCAAACATCTTCTCTCCCAACTCTGTACCAACCCTGCCAACAATTATGCACCAAGCACCCAGTCAAAGAAGGGGAAGCCAGCGGCTTAGGGGCTGGAAAGTGCCGTTAGTAATAACCAGCCCAAGACAGAACTGCGGCAGTCAGGCATAAGACTCTTTAGGATACTTGCTCCTTAGAATACGGTTCAATCTGGGAGGCTCTCCGTGAGTAAACTACGCGTGAAGTCCCTTGGCTGCTTCTCCAGCAAGATCTATGGAGTTCTACAGAATCAACTTTCCCCAGATTAGCATGCCTTTCTTGGCCTGCGTGGCAGCTGGTTCCGTTTGCCTGTTTGATTGCAGGATGAAAGGCCAGGGATCAGAACGTGCATATAAGTATGTGCACCCACTCTAGTGATGAGCACCTAGGGTCTTTCCTATCTCTCCTTGCAGAAATATATATGTAATATACTAGACACATATACATAGAATGTGTATGTATGTGTGTGCCAATATATGTATATATGTAAATATGTGTATACGCATAAATGTAAATATATGTGCCTACATACATATATTTACACACACACATATACACATAATAGGTCAACCTCATAAACACTTAGAGTTTAGAGAAAGTGCCAACAGAATACATGTGCTTGTGGATGTCACATGAAATGTACCAACCAACACACCTGAGGTCAAGCCGTTGGGAGGAGAGAGCTCCACGTCCTTGAAAAGCCACCCCTACAAAGCCATTATGTGGGTACTTGCTCACGTGGCACCCTAAAGGAAATCTGGGAAAACCGGACGGGAATGAGGTCCTGCCCTGATGGGACACCGCAACACCAACACTAAATCTACTTCTTACATGGGAGTGACTCACACATGGCAGGCAGCACGAACACTAAGCTACAAGGTGGGTTAAAAGCCCTCGTGCTTAATACAGATCAATATTCGGCCTCGGCTTCTCCAGGCAGAAGTCTTGGTACGTCAGCCTCCGGGGCCGTGTGACAATCAGGCGCACTGAGGGACCAGAGAAGGACAGTCTGCGGGACTCTTGGCTCCTTTCTGCTTCTCTGAGCCAGCGCTGGAGGAGTCGGCCAAATCAAGATAGAATCGGGACTTGAGGAAGCGGCGGTAGGAATCCTTTTCCATCAGGTTGAAAATCCTCTTCTGGGCCTCGTCAAAGCAGGTTATCGTGGGCTCCAGCATGTTCCGGCTAGTCTCCTCCCTGGTGCAAGAATCCAGGTTTACCTGCAGGGTGAAGGCCGGGACGTATTAGGCACGCTGCCCTGGGGAGGACGGGAGGCCGCATGCTTCGTAGTGAATCAGGAGTGTGCGGCTTCCATACCCCAGAAATGGAAAAACAGAACATTCCGCGCCACCCTGGCACCTGCGAGTGACAGACTATAAAAGGTTCATCTGCTTCTGGGCAGGCAGGGCACGACCCTCACTCTTTCTCACAAACTGGGGAGATTTATCAAAACACTCGTGAAGGGAGGTCATCCAAGTCACCCGGATAAAAAAAAGAGCTTTTTCTCTTGATGATTTACTTGAGGTGGTCAAGACCGTAATGACCTCTTCCACGGCTCTATCTTTTCCTTTAACTCAGGTCATCTAAAGGTCCATGCCATTCAATACCACTTGTAGGCAATTTCACCAAGACCCAGGGAGTTCTCTGCCACGAAGACCTACCTCTTTAGTGGCCTGGACTGAGATGAATTCATTATAGATCTTTTTCGCCTTGGGACTCAGTTTGGAGGGCGATTTGATTTTCTTGTACTCTTCACAGCTAATCCAGAAGTCAATGTTCTCCTCGCTGTATTCAGACTTCAAGAAAGCTTTGAAAGCCGCCAGCCCACCTGTGATGGGGGAGAGAGACCCACACTCATCACCACACTGACCGGCCTCCTGGACAGCATATTTCAGGAAAAGCCAACGTGCTTGAGAGAATAAAGCATGGAGACTTCAAACAGGCCCCTCTCTCCCCACTTTCTGGGGCGTCACTTGGGGTCAGGTAACCCTAATCTGTTTGATATCTATTGGATCCCAGTTATACCTAGTGCTCTTTGCTCAAGGTGTGAAGTCTCATTCCAGAAAATGGTGTTTCTGAAATGCCCATGCAGCTACCAATTGCCAAAGTCAGTTGGAGAAGGAGATACTGAGGTCGATTCTGCAAGAAACGTCAACATTTGGCATATTTTTTCCCTCTACCCTTTTTCCATGTGGTGAGAGAGATGGGGTCCGTACGAACTTCTCATTACGTATCACGACGCTCTAGGGCACGGGAAAATTTTAAACAGACTGATTCCCCCGAGTCTGGAAGTCAGAGGAAACCGCACCCTTTCTGCAATTCCTATTAGATCAAATATAGTGGGAGACAACTTGGCTATCTAGAGAGCTTGTGTCCTCATTCTCGGGGGGAAGAAAGTCGTCAGACTTACATTCATGGCTAATCAGGTTTTCCAGTGATTCAGCCCATTTTTTTACTTCCTCTTGGCTCACCCTGGAGACATTACAGAGACAAAAAAAATAATAATAATAACTTTGAATGCTGTGATACAAAACTACGGCAAGAAATTTAAGATCCTGAGAAAAATGCGGATATTTTATTTTCCATCTTGAGGATGCAATCTGTTGCCGAGGAGGGCAGTCTTTCCACTAAATGCCTGGAAATTTCAAATGCAAATCTCGCTTCACTAGGACCATACCTTCTTTCTTTCCTCATAGAACATCTCTGACATTAAAGAGTTTATAGCCCATGCGTTTTCCCCGAGGCCTTTTCTCTTACCTCTGACAAACCACCACTTTGTCCTTCTTGCTGTGGGAAGAATTATGTTCGCAGGAATCAGATTTCTGCAGCAGGAAACCCAGCCGATGTTTCATGTCTTTTGCACTGCATGGAAGAAGAGGAGAAAGAATAAAGCCAATTAGCTGCTTTACCAGATGCCCTCGTGGCAGAGCTCAAAGAGTCCATTACTAGGAAAGGGACAGGAGAGCGGTTAATTTAGGACATGGGGGGTGACGGGGGCGTGAACTCTCAGGAAAATGAGATCCCACTTCTGTTTCTGCCCATGACTCACTACAAAACCCGGGGCTCGAGTCACGGCCCAGCCTGCTCTGTCTGCGACAGAGTTCTGACCCTCAGTCGGCGCCAGGAGCCCCTTCTGTACGCCTGTCATGTTGACCGATGGAACACTTTGGCGCCTCTCATAGAGACACGCTGAAAACGTGACTGCTCTTCAGGTGATCTGTGGGCCTCAGAAAGCAAGCAGGAACTGTGAAATGTGGCACGCCACCTTCTGGCCCGGGGTCGCTTGTTTGCACCTGCCTCAGAGGGCCCTGCAGAAGCCCCTCCGGAGGGGAAAGGGCTGCGCGGTCCCAGCCTTGCACGAGGTGGGCGGAGCAATTCTGCAATTCTCACAGCGGGATACACACCACGCAGGGGGGTGTGCAGCTCCAGCAGGGGGCGGGGGGGGGGGGGGGGGGGGAGGCGGCAACCGCAGATGCTCTGGCGAAACCTGAGCTCCTTTGGGGCTTGCTTCTAGAGCAATCCTCCGGGGCTCCTGCCGCTTTCCTGTCTAGTATCTCCACTGTAAGGCCGTTTACACGATAAAGGGCATCCGAGGCTTAAAAACCATAAAGGGAAGCAAGCCAGAGTCATCACTGCAGCTAGGGATTGTCTCATTCGAGCCGAGCTTCCAGTTTATTTGTCCCTGTTTAATAGGTAGCGAGGGGACCGCCGGGCGCATGACTCACTCAGAAAGAAGAAGCTTTTAATAAGTTTTTAAGCTCGACTTTCTCTCTCTGTTAATTATTCTTTGGCTTGGATCTCTTTTATTATAAAAGCCAGGACCTAGTGTTAAAAGAGAAATGTCATTGTAAAAGAAGTGAGAGGCTAGATGCTCCTCCTGAGAGGGAGAGAAATAAAGTCACAAGGATAAAGAGCCATTTTAGGAAGGCTTCTGATGGATCAGTGGCTTCTCTATGCATGTTGCCCCAGAAAGTTTGAATTCCATTATGTTCGTGGACTGCCCCTAAAATAGTATTTTCTCTTCTTTACAAGCCCATTTTTCCCTCCTCTGCTTCTCCAATTGGCCAGGGGATGCAAAAATCCTCCTTAATGATACCAATATATAATCACGAAGGCTCACGTGATTCTAAGATAGAAATACATTGTGATTCGGTCCAAACAGAACTGATTTCACCTTTCCGTGTGCTGGGTCAGGGTGAGACCTGAGTTACTAATCAGTGCAAGTCGTCTCATAAAGAGTTGGAAGTAGGCTTAGCAAGTATGTGACATCTGTCCTTCCAACACAGTGCAACCATAAGCAGAAAAACCAGCATGACTTCAGAGGTCACTGGAGTCAGGAAACCAGATCTGATCTGCACTCTGCCACGCACTGCCTGTGTGACCTTGAGCAGTTCATGCCCTTCTGCAGTCTCAGGCACCGATGCTAGGGCGAAGCACTGGACTACTTAACTTGCAGTTGACCAGCGAGGAGGGGGAAAAGCCGTCCACCTTGCTGATCAGAGGTTACCTCCCCTTAGCTCCTCGGGCAGACTCGTGCAATCTTTCATCTGTCCCCGAAAATCCTTCCCAGAGCGTAACTCTTTCCTGGCAGTCCTGTATTTTGTGAGGGTAATTTTATAGATGAGCTAACTGTAGCTCTATACGATTTGCTCCGTTCAGCTCAGGATAGGAATGGTGGAGGTCAGGGGCATTCGTTCCATAGGTGCTTCACTGTAAAAGCAGCCATGAAAGCGTATTTTTACAAAGAATATTCTTTCACACTCCTGAATATTCGAAAGGGAAACTTCTAAGAACTGCACAGAAGACTGTGCTTTCTGGGATACTTCTAAACTGAAATTTAAGGTGATTTGTATTTGCAGGGAAACAAGGGGATGGTGTACCTACAGACTGACTTTCTACCTTTAACTGTAAGATGAAATAATGTAATATGCACCAGTTCTGCCTTTTTCTTCAGCTGGCTAATATACAAGCATTCTCTGAAAGCATTTATTTCTATCTTTTTAAAAGCCAAAGGCATACAAGGACCTATGAAGTAGCTTTATTTATTTATTTATTTATTTATTTAAATCAAGAGACAGTATATTGATACTACATTGACAAAAGTAGGATGAGATCTTCTACAGAACCCTTAACGATTTGTTAGGATCAATACTTTTCAACCACCATTCACATAAGGTATTTCAGGAGCTGGGGGAAGGGGCAGCGAGAGCAGGGGGACCCAGTATTGAAACTCATGCTGTATTGTCACACTTGCTTATAAGAGCATAAAGAGTGTTAGATACTGCAGCACCACACAGAAAGCACAGTGTGCCCATGTTGGAGCCAAGCCTCATTCTGGGGTATCTTTCCCTAAACAAGACCTACCCCCCCCCCCCCCC